ATGCCATCCCCACCCATCTTCCTCTCCTACCCTCTGAATCCATTCTCCTGACTAACTTCATATCTTTCAATACTCAACTTATGCTTCTCCTTGATGAAGCTTCATGGAACACCTTCCTTCAAGTTTAAATGACTCCTCCTTCTTGATATCCTCACTCTATAGACATCTATTAAAGCACCTGGAACACTAGTTTCACTTATTTCGTTTCTCCTTCCCTTTCCTCCATGATGTCGAGAGTTCTAAAAGGCAGGGTGTGATCCAGTGTCCGGCACGGGGCCTCGCACAAAGTCTATGGGTGTTTTCCAACATAATAGATTGACTGTCTGATATCTAAGTGGGTGCCCTGGGCACCTCCCATCCCCCTCTCCACAGGGAATGACCTCTTCCTGGTGGCTGTGCACGAGCTGGGCCACGCACTGGGATTGGAGCACTCCAACGACCCCAGCGCCATCATGGCACCCTTCTACCAGTACATGGAGACACACAACTTCAAGCTGCCTCAGGATGATCTCCAGGGCATCCAGAAGATTTACGGTGTGTGGCAGGGGAGAGGGGGCCGCCACTTCTACTGTGGGGTTGGGCTGTGGCTGCCTGCCTGTCACGGGGAGCGGGGAAGGGAGGGGAGCACTGCCATCCATCCACATAGCTGCTGTGTCTCTGACAGCTGTCTGACCTTTAGAGACTGAAGATGTCCTTGCTTAACCAGAGTGGGCAAAGCTACCTCCCCACCTCCACCATCCCCCTTTGCCCTCACCCTGGGAAATAGGGGAGGATATGCTACTGGGAAGGTATGCTACCTACTCCCTCTTCTCTCTTGCCTTGCCCCTCCACACACCTCCCTCTAGCCTCCTAAAGTTCACTTTCAAGGGGTCCCACCTCTAGCCAGGAGATCCACACATCTGCCCAAGTAACAGTGATACAATGTGATGAATATCATAACCAGAGCTTTTTTCTTAAACAAGAAAAACTAAGAAGCTAGGCTGATATCTTGATAAAATATGAGAAGCCTGCTACCATACCATCCACCCAGTTCTTTGGTAACACTGGTATGTGAAATTCTTGTTGTTGTCCAGTAGGTGGAGATAGGAAGACCAGTTTACTTGAGAAAATGCAGATCCACATAGCACAACCCCCTTGCCTGCACCCCCTCCTGTGCCCCACTGCCCCCAGGCTATGGAGCATAGATGGGCTCTCTCTGGACCTCACAGAGGAGGTGGCCCCACCCAGAGCCCTGAAGGTTAGGCAGGATCTCCACAGGCTAAGCTGTAGAGGACTGGACAGGGGTGGTGGTAACTGTAAGGTATTTTGAAAATAGAATGGCCAGGATTTGCTGATTGATGAGACATGGGGTCAGGAGGATGACAACAAGGTTTCTGGCTTTTGTAATTGTGGGGCCACAGGACTGACCAGTCTGTAGCTCAGAGATCTGGGCTGGGATGTTGATTTGGAAATCTTTGGTGTCCAATATAGCCACATGTGGCTACTGAAATTGAAATTTATCTTAATTAGACTTAAATAAAATTAAATTTTCAGTTCCTCTGTCACACTAACACTAGTCACTCATTTCAAGTGTTCGGTAGCCAGGTGTGGTGGGAGGCTGCTGTACTGGACAGTGCAGATTAGAACATTTCTGTCATCCCAGGACATCCTATTGGACTCTAAGGGAGTCTTTAAAGCTGTGAACTGGATGAGATCTCTTAGGTGGTGATTCTTAACCTGGCTGCCCACTGGAATCACCTTCGGTTTCAATAAAAAATACCAATACCAGACCCTCACCCCAGAGATTTGGTTTTAATTGGTCTGGGGTGCCTTCTAAGCATCAAGAGTTTTTTTAAACTCCCAAGGTGATCCTATTATGCAAGTTGAGAAGCTCTGACCTAGGGACCAAAATAGAGAGAGAGAAAAGAAGAGGACCCAGGGCTACCGCCACCTTTCGAGTAGAGGGGAATGAGGAAAGGCTGCCAGTAAAGGAGGCTGAGAAGGCACAGCCCCGGGTAGGAGGGAAACCAGGACAGTGCTGGGTTCCAGAAAAGAGAGAAGAGTGTTTTGAGGAAAGGGTTTCTATGATCTTGCTACAAGTGTGGGCCTCAGACAGCAGCATGAGCATCACCCGAGAGCTTAAAGAAATGCAGAATCGCAGGCCCCACCAGATCCTCTGAGTCATAATCTGCATTTTATCAAGATCCCTGAAGAACTCATATGCACATCAAAGTCTGAACCAAGTAACCACTGAATCTGGCAACATAGAGGCCACTGGTGATCTTGACGGAGCAGTGCAGTGGGTAACGGGCAGAGCCATGCTGAAGCAGGACAAAGAATGGAGGGGAGTGAGGAAGTGGGCCAGCGTGTGTGGAGGGGAGCAGAGGAAGAGGGTATGGGTCACTGAACCTAAGAAGGGACTTGTTCTCTCACAAAAGGAGAGAAGAAAGAGAACATACCAGATTTGAGGGTGGACAAATGAGAGTCTCATTTAATGGTTATTTTTCACCTATTTTCTCAAAGATTGGGGAATGAAAAATGGGGAGAGAGGACAGGAGGCTGGAGTGTGACAGACTTGTTTCAGGCTGCCTAGGTGATGGGGTGGCAGGGAATGGCTGGCCCCTTTCTAAGATGCAGCCCCTCTCTCCAGGACCCCCAGCCGAGCCCCTGGAGCCCACAAGGCCCCTCCCCACGCTCCCTGTCCGCAGGATCCATTCACCGTCTGAGAGGAAGCATGAGCGCCAGCCCAGGCCTCCTCGGCCACCCCTCGGGGACAGGCCATCCACACCCGGTGCCAAACCCAACATCTGTGATGGCAACTTCAACACAGTGGCTCTCTTCCGGGGCGAGATGTTTGTGTTTAAGGTAGGCCCAGTCAACAGGCACCTTCCAGGGGTCCCCTCCCATGTCTTCCCCACCATGGAGCAGGCTGCTGCCCTGGGATTCGGCCTGCTGGGGGGCCTAGCTGGGAGCTGGCCCAATCTCTTCCTGGTGCTGCTGAGTGAATCAAGAGGGAGTGTGTGTGTGTGTGTGTGGGGGGGGAATTGGTGACCCCAGGGTTACCTCTTGGAAGTGTTGGAGACTTGCTTCTGGTCTGTGACTAAGCAAGTCACCTCCCTTCTCTGGACCTCAGTTTCTCCATCTGAAAACTAGGGGTCATTCCCCTAACGAAGGTGTAAGAAGATCAAATAATGCATGGCTATGAAGTAGGGGCTGGCACAGTGGTGGCTGTGTCTGTCTCCCGATCCTGCCAGGGCTGAGAGGCTGGTACTCAGGTGTGCCTGACAGGAAGCAAGCCAGGCTACATCTTGGCACCTGCCTGGTCCTGTCACCTTAGCCAGGGGCTGACTGGTGGGGAAGCCTGCTTGGTGTGTTGCACTGGGTTCTAAGGAAGCAGACTCTGAGACGATGTTTGGAATGCAGGACTTTGATGAGGGAGTACCTTTGGGATCAGTATCTGTGGGAGGGAAGCAGGATTGGGCAGAAGATGATAGTTATAAGCAGCCATTAGGTCCATTGCGGACTCAGCCACCCTCACAGGGGGCTCTGGAGCTAGGTTGGCTGGTCAGAATTACCCCATATTGGGCTCCAAATGGCTGTAACTTTATACCCCCTGCCTCATTCAGTCATTGGATAAGGAAGGATGTGACTGGGGGGAACTCTCTGAAGCGGAGGCCATCCTGAGAGGCGGACAGTTGAAAACTGCCTGCTGACCACACTCCCAGCCTCGGAGGCAGTAAGCCCTCCAATGAAGGGGGTCTGGGCAGCACGTCTCAATCACACTGGGAGGTCATGGAGGACTTCTCCACTCCCCTCGTGGAGTTCTCCCAGCAAGGTTTGAGCAATGAGCAAGAACCAGGCACCTGGGTCAGTCTGCCTCTCACCGAGTGGCTCTAGGAAACCACTTGGCATTCCTTAAGACCCTGTATATCCCAAATCAACTTAACCAGAGTTGTGAAAGTCAAAATAAGGTTTAAACAAACTGGGTGTGAAATTGTAAAACACCTTTGAAAAACCTTTCCTAGCCTTTGTACCATCTTTTACGAATCATTCATTCTTCTGTACTTTTGGATCCTCCAACCGAACAGTTCCTAGGCAAGTCTGGGTTTTATCATCCTCACTCACACATAAGAAAACTGAGGTCCTGGGAGGTTGTAGACCTGGCCCAGTATGCCTACCAGCCAGGGGCTGCAGTGAGGCCCGGCACCAGTTTGAAGAGGAGGGCTTTTCTCACACTCTTGGCCTACTGACCTGCCATTTATTCAACATCGACTATGTGCCCCCTATTGTTCTAGGCACTTTGCCTATAGTCTCTCCTCTGATCCCTCATTATTCCCCCATTTGCAGGTGAGGCTCTTTAAGTACTATGCCCAAGGTCATGCAGCTATAAGTGGAGGAACCTGAATTCACACCCAGGTCTTGGGGGAATTCCCCCAAGCAAAAGAGGGTTTGCTTCCCATGGTCCTTGCCCTGCTGGATGAAGCCAGCCATATATGAGGAGGGCACTCTGCCCAGGCTCAATGACCTAGGAGTGGCTCTGCTGATGTCAGTGACTCTCTGCTGCCCTCACGTGGCTACTCCAGGCCCTGGCATCACCCCTTCTGCTCCTCCACATCTCGTCTCCCGTCAGACCTGTCAACTCTGTCTCAGGCTGCTCCTTTAAGGAGGCTGGCTTACTTAAAGAGAGTTAATGAGCATACGGTCTTCCTCACAGGGCTTTGAAAGTTAGAAGCAGTAAATGGGCAGACTTGACAAAGGGCTTCAAGGCTGGGCACAGGGGAAGGTATTGGGTGGTTTGGGCTGAGCACTGGGTTCACAGGTTATGCCTCTTCCTCTCCCCTCCTTAACCCCTAGGATCGCTGGTTCTGGCGCCTGCGCAATAACCGGGTGCAGGAGGGTTACCCCATGCAGATCGAGCAGTTCTGGAAGGGCCTGCCTGCCCGCATAGATGCAGCCTATGAAAGGGCTGATGGAAGATTTGTCTTCTTCAAAGGTAATGTGGCCTGTGCTGAGGGACTTGGGTGGTTCCCTGTCCTCGGGACCCCCTTTCTTCATCTGTGAACTGGGAGAAGTGGGGTGGGAGGCAGATGTACTCCACGGGCCCTTCTAGCCCTAACAGAGACACTGACATTTGAAAGGACAGACCCCTTCAGGCAGGCAATGCACAATTTGGGGCAATCAAGTCAAGGAGTGGTTGTTAAGGGTCTGTATGTGTCAAAGTTGGTGGGCAACAGTCCTCAGCCACATGAAGTAGAGGGATGTACAGGCCACTGAAGACCATCAGTGCTCCATGGAAGGCCACCCTATCAGTTCTGTAAGAGTCCAGAGGGAGGAGGCCACACAGCCCAGAGGCTGGAACAGGCAGGGAAGGGGGAGGTGGGGCCTGAAGAGCCTTGTTTGCCAGGCCAGAATTTAATATTGATCTCTTAGGGCAACACTGGAAATTCACTGGATGTTTGTGAGCAACAGAGAACTAGAGAACAGGTGCAGAGGCGGGAGGCCATTTCTGAAATGGTTGCTGGAGCTGAGGAGAGTGATGTCCGCAAGGCCCAGAGCAGGGAGGCTAAAGACAGCTAGAGGAGGAGGAAAGAGGGCCAGAGGTGATGCCAGGACTTGTTGGGGACGCTGGGAGGCTGCAAGGTGATGAGGTAGGGCGCCCCCTGTGATGGAGATGGGGAACTCTGGAAAGCCAATTTGGAAATGCACAGAGGCAGATGGGCCACAGGGTACCCAGGTCTGGTGCTTGGTCCACTGAGAGAGTGGCTATGGGCTAGAGCCTCAGAGTTGGGTGTCATTGGTGAAAGGGGGGGAGCAAGGAACACTAGTGTGTACGAGTGGCTGAGATCACTCAGAGAGGAGAAAGGAACAAGTCACAGAGGGTGAAACACGGAGCCTGGGCAGCATGGAATGAGTTGTCCAGGATCTGTGACTGGCTTCTGGCAACTTGCCCCCTATGGTTTACCTGGGCCAAGAGGCCTCAGTCTTCTACTGAGGGTATCAAGCAGGCCTGGGGCTGTTTCCCTGTCGTACTCTGGCTCTATGAATGACTTTAGTCCCTGAATAAGATGGGTAGGTGGCACTAGCCACAACCTCTGGCATTGAGTGACTGGGCAAAGCTGATCCTGGGCTCCTCTTGGCCACAGGTGACAAGTACTGGGTGTTTAAGGAGGTGACGGTGGAGCCTGGGTACCCGCACAGCCTGGGGGAGCTGGGCAGCTGTCTGCCCCGAGAAGGCATTGACACGGCTCTGCGCTGGGAACCCGTGGGCAAGACCTACTTTTTCAAAGGCGAGCAGTACTGGCGCTACAGCGAGGAGCGGCGGGCCACAGACCCTGGCTACCCAAAACCCATCACCGTGTGGAAGGGCATCCCACAGGCTCCCCAAGGGGCCTTCATCAGCAAGGAAGGATGTATGTATGGGCCCGGCAGGGTGGGAGGGGTCTCAGCAAAGCCCTGGGGCACACTCTCAGGGTACCCAGGCTTGAGAAACACTGCCTGGGAGCAAAGACAGCTGCCTCGTATCCACCCATGTTCACACAGCAAAATCCTCTTACCAGCTACCAAGTCACAATTTCTTATCTTCAGGGATGATTCTCCATTGAGAGGTGTTTTCATAGACTGACTTCATTCCTTCCAACAGCATTCCTCATGGGCCTCGAGTGTACTCCAGGAGTTCCTTGAGTTATCAAATCTGAAAAGCAATGATACGGTTTTCCCAGGGTTTGAGGGCAGGGAGGTGGAGAGAGAAGCTTTCTTTGTTTACAAGACATTTTCTAAGCTCCTCCTAGAGGCCAGAGTAGGAGCTTCTCAGGAAGAGGCTGGGTCTTGTCAGGCGCAGAGTAGGTATCATCAATGTCTGTTGAATACATCTCCGCTGATATGGTCAAAAGCACAGCCTGGCCGGCTTCACATCCCATCTCCACCACTTACTCTGAGTTTGGGCAAATCACTTTTTTCCCTCAGTTTTCTGATACCTACCTCATAGGATTTTGTAAGGATTAAATAAATCATATAGAGCACTTAGACTAATGCCTAGCACATGGCCCATGCCATCTGCTTTAGCTGATATCATCATTGTCATCTTGTTGATGTGTTTTATATGGAATGACAGATTTACTCACTCCACAGTAATTACTTAGAACCAGGTTGTGTGGGAGGGCTGAAGATGGAGCAGAGAACAAGACTTGCATTGCATCCTGTTTCTCAGGCTAGGGGCAGAAAAATAAGACAGCCACCAATGCTGTAAGGGAAAGAAATGCTGTGAGAAAGCAACTAGGCAGAGGGGGCCACTTTAGAAGTCATTGGGAAGGACTCTGACAAGGATCACTAGTAAAAAAGCCAACAGCTCCAGGGACAGAGCAGCTATCTGGTGGCTCTCCTGTGTACCTCATGCTTTACACACATGGTCTCACTTTCTGGGGAGCCTCAGAAACAGATGACATCAAAGACTTTGGCCAATGAACGTCCCAGTCAGGGTGGGGAACCGGCCTATGAGAGTCTGAGTGCGTTGCTTTGCATTTGTGGACTGGCTTGCTGCTAAGGCTGTTGCTGGGAGCCTTGGAGTGGCCCCCCCAAGTTTGCTGCCTTCTTTCTTCCCAGCCCCTCCCCTAGAAGGGTCCCAGAAATCTTGTAATCAGTGTTTCGAAGTGATGTATGCCAAGCCAAAAAAAAAAAATCCATGATAATTGCCAAGAGGTGGTGTCTGCTATCAAGAGGAAAAATCTTGCTCCCTGCCTCACTTGGCTCAGGCAGGAGCTGGACTGAGGCACTAGAGCGATGGAGATTGCGCTGTCCAAGCCCTAAGTTGGGGGCTTGATCTGACCCATGTGGGAGTGCCTATGGGGACAGGGTCACAGAGCTACGGCCCCAGGCTGAGAAGGTCCAGTCTGGGAAGCACAAATTGAACTTACCAATTTGACTTAAAGCCCCTCTATGGCTCCCCAGAACCTTTGAGAATATGGGGTGGGCTGCTCCAGGTCCTGGGTGCCCATTTCTGCAGCCATGCAGGTGACAGTCCATGACCCAGACACACTATTTGCAGGATGTGCCAAGCACTGTGCTTCCCCACCTCCCAGCCCACCCCTCCTTCAGAGCTCCTCTGGGACTCCCCCAGGTGGGAGAGGTGCCCCTCCTCCACACACCCACAGTGCCTTCTGCCCTCACATGCAGGCGCAGGGAAGTGTCTGGGAGTGGTGGTGATGCTGAGCTGTGTTTCTGCAGATTACACCTATTTCTACAAGGGCCGGGACTACTGGAAGTTTGACAACCAGAAACTGAGTGTGGAGCCTGGCTACCCACGCAACATCCTGCGTGACTGGATGGGCTGCAACCAGAAGGAGGTGGAACGGCGCAAGGAGCGGCGGTTGCCCCAGGACGACGTGGACATCATGGTGACCATCAACGACATGCCAGGCTCTGTGAATGCGGTGGCCGTGGTCATCCCCTGCATCCTGTCCCTCTGCATCCTGGTGCTGGTCTACACCATCTTCCAGTTCAAGAACAAGGCAGGCCCTCAGCCTGTCACCTACTATAAGCGGCCAGTCCAGGAGTGGGTGTGAGCAGCCTAGAGCCCTCTCTGTCCACTCAGTCTGGCCAGGCAGGCCCTTCCTCACCAGGGTCTGAGGGGCAGCTCTGGTCACTGCCCACTGGAGCCAGCAGGGCCCTAGGCTAGGGGTCATATAGTTGAAGTGGTGGGCGCATTGGCCTAGGATGAATGTGGGGCAGGGAGTGATGGCTGCTGTGCCCCAGATGCCAGCCTTCTGTCCTGGGTAAACTGCTCCCTACTCAAGGGAATAGGCCAGGCCCCATGCCAGGTGGAGGCCCTGTGGTCACTGCATCCTGTGGTGTCCATGAGACGCCACAGCTTGGTTCCTGGCTGGACCCAGCACCTCCTGTGGGAAGCCAGCACTAGTGCTCTCAGTCCCATCTGGGAGAAGCCACCAGTCCTGGTCCCTCTTTGCCAACACCTGCTGGTCAGATGTCCCCCCACCCCCACCCCACTGTTCTCCAAGGCTACAGGACCCCTGCTGCCAACACAGTGGGCAACAAGACGGGTTTCCCCTGCTGGCATGCAGCAGATCCCTCAGGAAACCTGCTCCACACATCAGGGTCTCCTCTGAGACCCAGGATTTAGGGTCACATGCTGCAGGCAGGGCTGTGGCCCAGCCGGGTCTCACAAGGACCCAGCTGTCACATCTTGAACATTTAAATGTCCTGTCTCTACTGTTTAAAGTCCCATTCTGCAAAGGCTGCTTGAGGCTTTAGGTGAATTAGAGGTGACTGTCTTGGTGATGAGGCCGGTGACAGGCCATGTCCCAGGTGATAAGGACCACGGTGCTGCTAAGGCCACTCTAACACCCAGACACCCCAGGAGCCAGGCCCTCCTCCTGAGACTAAAGCACTGGGGCAGGAGCTGACCCTATTTCTGGAGGCTGATCTGAGTTTGTGACCATCCTCCACTCTCCTTACTTTCTCCCCGTTCCCTCAGTCTCTAGCAGCACTCCAGCCTGTAGCTTGTGGCCTGGGGGCTCAGTCTGACTGGTGGCGTGAGGCAGAAATGGCTTCAGGCCAACATCCTCATGGCCTTGGGTAAGGGAGTCAGGGCAGCCTTCTCAAGTGCTCAGAGCCCATACCCCCCACGTACCCTGAGGCCCACTCAATCCCTCAGACTGGAACCTGTGTTCGTATCATGAGCTTGGCCCTTGCTAACCCAGCTCTCTAGGCCATTTTCCTGCGTTGCTCTTTGGAAAAGAGCACCCCCATGGGTAGTGGCCCCAAGCCTAGGGGCCCACCCTACACTGTCTCTGGCAGGAATTCCTAGGGCTCAGCTTGCCTCACTCCAACCCAGTAGAGGCAGCTCTGCTTATCACTGAGACGTCCTGGGCAAGACCAATGGGTTCAGTGATGCCCGCTGGCTCTCTGCCAAATCCAGGAGGTGGTATCAGTCTTCAGGATGCTGCCACCCTGGCCCTCTGAGCCTACAAGGACCTTGCCCCCACCCTGTGACCTCTGGTCTTTGGGTCAGCTTAACCTGTAGGAGACAGGGACTTCTGTTGTCCTGGGAGCTAACTGTCTAAAGCAAAATCTCTTGTCCCAGAGACACCTATTGGGCTCCACTGTGTTCCCTGTCATTATCCTTTTGTGTTTTGTTTTGTTTTTCTCATTTTGGCCAAGGGCGGGCTCCCTGGGGCGGGTGGGGAACAACTGCGGAGATATAAGTGATTCATAGGTTTGTACACTGTTTTATACTTTGCAAAGCACTTTATTAGCTCACACCTGTCCACTCACATGAAACTAGTGTAGGCCCTGGGAGGCCAAGGGTAATTTTCATCACGCCCTCAAATGAAGCACAGAGAGGTTGTTACGTGCCCAGGCCTTCCAGTGAGCTGGCTGGGCCTTGGTCTCCACCTGTGGACCCCTCTAAGGTCCAAGATGAGATGAGAAGTGTCTCTTTTATCCATCTTTTCCTGGCCTCCTTTCTCCCCTTCCTGGTCCCTCTCCACTCCTCAGGTTGGTGCTCTCACTTCTTGAATGCTCTAGGCCCCGCAGGCTCCCGTTGGCTCCTAATACTACCCAGGTCAGCTGAGAAAGAGCAGGAGATGGAGGCAGGCAGCCCAGGCTGCAGATGTGAGGGATGCAAGGCTAGACCCAGAGAGGGCTCAGCCTGGAGGCTTCCAAACTCGGATTATCCTGCCTTGTGGTCATCTGTTTGTCCATTACCCCAGGACAGAGCAGACAGAGGGGCAAAGCCCTGGGGGTCCCAGAGCCCAGCTTCCCCTCAGCCTGGGGAACATCATAGCATTTCAGTGTCAGTCACATTTTAAACTGATCAGCCTTTGTATAATGTTTTTTAAAATCATTTCTAAATAAAACAAAAATACAGTCTGTCATTTCCCTTGAATGTGGGGGAGAGAAACAGGTTCTGAGAGCGGCCTAAGAAGCTTCTGGGAGGAGAGAAACAAGGTACTTTGGGGTGTCCAGGAGCTGCCCCATTCGTCTCATCTGCAATCACACAACCCCTCTCTCCAAGAGGCCCAGTGGAATCGGGTCCCAGAAATACGGCCTGACAATGCCTCACTGGGGTCCAGGCTGGAGGAGCAACCTCCCCTGGTTCAGGAAGAGTCACCGCAGCAAGGTCTTCTCTGCCGTCAAGGCCCACCGTGCAATGACCAGAACAAAAGCAGGAGCCGCGTTCTCAGCAATAAGGGACAAGTGAGGTCAGTGGCTTTAGGGTCTCTCCACGAACCCTCGCCTGGTTCTGGAAGTCGGTGACAGGGAAGCTGAGCCAGCACCCAGATGGCTGGAGCTCTGGGGTGCGGGTGAGCACGAAGGCTGAGGTGGTTTGGGTGTAGGATGGGGAGCGAACAAATTCAAGGTGTCCCAAGGCGCTGCTGTGGAGGCAGCTCGGCCGGGACTTCCTTCCAGGCCCCTCGACCTCCTCAATCCCAGTCTCTGGGGCGCCGGTGGGTCTGGGGCGCGGGGGCGGGGGGTCACAGGCTGAGAGAGACA